TTTGGTGCTGGAAGACTGAAACCTGTTCATCATAAAAAGTACAGAAGAGCGAAAAAATAAATAAATAAATAAAAACCCACTGGGGAAAAAAGAGAAAAAACAAAAAAAAACACATCAGGGAAGGAACTAGAACCAATAAAATTTCACCAATAATAATTTCACTAACCAGAAACCCAACAAACTGGTTATAGTGATTCTCCCCATCCTCTCTGGAAATTTTACACACTTAAATACACATTGATCTTGACATAAAGCACTTTACATAAATAGGATCATATTATAAATGCATTCTCAAAAGCTATTTTCAAACATTTCTTCCCTTACCAATATGTTATAGAAAGGAAGATCACTGTCATTATTCTTGCTATTGTTTAGGATTCTCTTGTAAGAGTTATAACTCATCTGATCAGCCTTTATTCAAAGATACACTTAGGTTACTTTCCAAAGTCCTATGCTAAAACATTATCAAGATCATCCTCTATGGTTTGGAAACAGTCATAAGAATGGTTTGGAAACATTCATAAGAACCATTTCAAATAATAATAATATCAGAAGATATGATTCTGGAAGCTGAGTGGAAGGTCCATTGACATTTTGACACATATTGGCAAGCTGTCCTCCCAAACATTGACCTAGTTTATGCTCCAGTGTGATCCATTCATCAGAACTGTCTTTGCAAAGCTTTGCTAACCTGGTTGGAAAAAAATCTTAGTAATTTAATTCCTGACTTTTGGTTTACTTTTAAATCTTTAGTCTATTTGATTATCCATTTGCATTTCTTAGAGGGTAATAGAAGACTTCTCATTTTGAAGAAAAGAGTTATTTATCTACAAGGACATTCATCCCACCTTTCCTTACAAACTAGAAAACAGGAACAACCAAAGGACTGGACTCTACTTAAAGTAGAAACTTACTGAAATATTTCATAGCACAGAAAAAGATTTGGGGTGAATGTTTAATGGCATTAGGAAGTGATTTTTGAGAAAATTTCTTGAGAAAAAATGCAAGGTGCGAAATAATTTATAGAAACAACCTGTAATGATTTACTACCTTTATCAAAAGATGTTTAGAAGAAAGTAAAAATAAAAGAGAAAATGTTCAGAGGAGCAATAGCACAGCGGTAGGGTGTTCGCCTTGCAAGCCTCTGGTCTGGCCAAGCCGGGTTCGATTCCTCCGCCCCTCTTGGAGAGCCCGGCAAGTTCCCGAGAGTATTTCGCCCGCATGGCAAAACCTGGCAAGCAACCCTTGACGTATTGGATATGCCAAACACAGTAACAATAAGTATCTTTTTTAGAGGGGGGAAGCAAAAAGTGAAGAGACTTATTCTGAGGAATTGGCTATTTGATTATGTCCACTATAGGACAATTGCAAGCTGGAGCCTCAGGAAGACTGGAGGGGTCATTCAACCCATGTCTGAAGACACAAAAGCCTGGGAAGCTATTGATGTAAATTCAAACCCATGGGTAGGACAAGATGAGATGAGATGTCCCAGCTGAGTCATTGGGAGGCGGATGAACATTTCCTTTCTCTATCTTTTGTTTGACTCAAATTCTCAGTGGATAGAATGGTGCTTCATTGTATTGGTGGCAGTTGGGGGCCAAACTGACTTTCCTGGGCCCACCAATATACTCTCTGATCTTATTAGAACACTGAGGAGAGGCACGAATAGTATTAATCTGGGTACCTGTGGCCCACTAAAGTTGTCACATTAAGTTAATCCTGCTTGCAAAAGGTTGGGATATTATGGAAAGTCTTATCTGGAAATAGTTAAGAAACCTAGGAAGGCCCAGAAAATCACATTGTAAAAATCACGTTGTACTACATTGTACTACACATTGTAAAAATCAAAGTCAGTGGGGGAGCCCGTAAATTCTTTTCTTTTCTTTTCTTTTCTTTTCTTTTCTTTTTTTAACCAGAAAAGAAGGACAAGATAGGAACTGAGTTTTGGAAAGATTCTTGGTCTGGTTTAGAGAAGAAAGAAGTGGTTAAGAAGGAATTTGGGTGGTGAAATATTAAACTTGTCCCAGTTGGAGGTTATGAGCCATGTTTAGGATGAAGGCTACAGGGTGAGGGTTGTTTACTGGGGTGAAGAAACGGCTGTTTTTCAAAGTCAAATTCCCACGAGTTGGCTTATTGTGGTGGAGTGAAGGGTGATGGTGGATTTGAGCTGAGAGATGAATGACAAGAGCACCCAAGTACCCAACTAGGTTATCTGGGGGCTGTAGATATTCCAACTAAACAGCTCAGATATATGTCCTTCCTACAACCCTCCATTGTATGGTTATTTTCAGGGCACCTACTCTGTTCCAAGATCTATGGGCACAGGAAACGCCAGGACTTGGGTACAATCTATGCAAGGAGCAACCCCGTGTTGCAAAGACCCAGTAATCACAAACTCAGAAAAGAGTGGGGCCTGAAATTGAGGCTACCTTTCTGCAGAAGCAAATGTCTAAGGTGAAAGTTCAGAAGAGGAGGATTCCCACCCACCAGGCTGAGACAGTAAGAGTTGAGGGTTCTCTCTCCCTCCCTCATCGTCTTGCCCCCAAACAGGGCCCAGCATCCCCAGCTGAATAAGATACAATTTCTGCCCTGGTGGATGGGAACACATACAAAGACAATGCCATCCTTGGCAGGGCTGGAGAATGGCAAAAGGGGCTGAGCACGTGCTCTGTATCATGGAGACCTACCCAATTCTCTTTCCAGAACAGCATGGTCCTCCCAACAGCACCAGGAGTTGACCCCCAACCCCTCAGCACAGAGCCAGGTGTGGCCCCAAAATAAAACAAAAGACAAAATGTCACTTGACACAAATGCACTAAATCATACATGTCAAAAAAGGGTCAACTCCAGGTACACTGGGGCTTTTCAGCTGAAAACTCTGGGCCTTCTTGGGATCTGAATGGACAAAATCCCCCTCCCCCCACTCCCCTTACTTCCAGATGCCCAGGCAGCTGCACACACACACACACACACACACACACACACACACACACACATCCTACTGCTGCCTCTACATACACTCATCTACCGACCTTGTTCCAGAGATTCATAATAAAATCTTGAAAGAGACCAACTAGCTGCAAAACTACTCAGTTCGGGCTGAGACCTCCGGGGCTACATTTGGAGTGGCTGGGCCAAGTTCCTGCCCTACCAAAGGTTCAGTAGCCACATTCACACCCCCAACAGCTGTCACCATGTCTCTAGTCTGACTGCCCAGTTAAATACTCTGGATTTTCTAGAGTGCTCGGCCATGATATGTCCGAACTCTATAATATTAACATCCCAGTAGAGGCACACAGATGGGATGGGAATATAACATAGAAGCCAACTAATCTTGACTAACAAAAACATTAATCAAGAAAGCTTAACTAGCAACAACAGCTTAGTAAACTCTCAGACAAGGACTTAATGTCCCCATGGTGAAATACAACAGTTTTCATAAATTTTCTTTTACTAAAGTAAAAGACTGGACTTTGTGCCAGGCTGTTTTCACTCGGGGCTCCCCAGAGTGGGGTGGGTGAGAGCCCTCCCCTCTCTGAGGGACCCAGCCCCGGCAGCCGACCTCCACTACCCAACTGCCGCCAAGCTCCAGGCCGCTTTCCGGTGTCATAAGTGTCATAAGACACTTTTTACCCATTTTCCATAATTACCACACTATATTTGATGGGGTTCAGACATTAGGGAACAAATCATAGAGAGAAATACATATATTGGCACCTGCTTGAGTAAACTGACGAACAACAGGATGACAGTAATACGGTGATTTTTCTGATCACTCCATTAGCCGTTTAGTGGCAAAAAGCAATATAAAATAAATTATTGTGGGCCTGCTATGGGGGGAGGCTTAAGAATGGTTGGGAAAATGGAGACAATGATGGAGGGAAGGTTTCAGTGGTGGTGGAATTGGTGTTAGAATTCTGAATGCTTGTAACAAATCATCATGAACAACTTTGTAAACCATGGTGTTTTAATAAAATGGGAAAAAATGCTTAAAGTAAATAAAAGAAAATGTACTTTGCAAGATATTACCATATATAAGGTGCATTTGACCTAAATTCTTCTCTAAATTTTGACATACTGCTGTATATTGGATTTTTCATAAGACAGTGAAAATGGATTCATTTATCATTGTATAAATAAAGATGACATGCATTAAATCCATATTGTTTAATTATCTCCATTCTTTAAAAAAATACTATATTAAGATCTTACCCAAGCATCTAATATCTGCATATGATTTCTTAATCACCTGCTCACTCTAATCCATAGTGGGATGCTCTTGGTCTAAGGAAACAATACCAATTGTCAGAAAAGATCAATCAGTCATACCAACTATGAATAATTCATGCAATGAAGAGCATTTATTTCCCCACCCCTCAAAAAAGGAAGGAACGCCTCCCCTACAGAACTCTCCATTTTAAGTCAGAGCTATCTGGATTCTAGCCACCAGGACTAGTAAAGTGAACCGCAAATCTTCCCTCCAGGATTCACCCCCACACCTTACGAGGAGGGGCGCAGTGTCCTCCTGGCTGCTGAAAGGAGCCAAGTTAACGTGCTCTTTTGGGAGGTGGGTGATGTCAGGAAATTGAATGTTTCTATCTCAGGGTGCGCGGCAACCTCGCTCGCTCTTTCAACCACCCGGGCTGCATTCATCAGGCCTGGGACCCAAGCTGGACAGCGGCGGAGAGGGTCCACCCCCCCCCCCCCCACACACACACGTACACACACTCACACGCACGCACACAGATTTTGCGTTTTAAAGAAAAAGGAAAGTGAAATCCTACATTCAATACACCAGGGCAGGAAGCACCCCACTTTGCGGACCACTTGGGGGAACGCACCTGGACGGGCAGTTGAGTGATCACCTGCCCAACCTAACCTAACCTCCTGCAGATCCGGTTGGTACCAAAGCCGAGACCTCGAGGAGCAGGGGCGCCAGCAAGCGGGAGAAATCCGCATCTCTCGGCTTTCAAAGCCCACCCCCGCCCCCATCCTCCCCTATTCCCAGGCCTCGGCTCCCCAAGTCCTGCAGCCTCGGTCCTAGCCGGGGGCGTGTGCGAGGGGCGGGGCTGCGAGGAGCGCAGGGATTGAAAAAAATAAGTAAGGTAATTAGCATCCTGTCATCCTATTGGCTCCCTGCCTGTCTTCTTTACATATGCCCGCCCCTTTGGCTGCACGGGGTTTGCGGGGCCGCGGCTGTTGCTGCGCTTCAGTGAGGGGCGGGAGGGCGAGGAGCGAGCCGGGCCCGGGAGCAGCGAGCCGGGATCCTGCAGCCAGTTGCCCGCGGAGCTGCTGCGGCGGCGTCGGCGTCGTCGTCGTCGTCTTGGACCTTTTACCGCCTACCAACGCCGAGGTGGGCGTCCAGCGGCTCCTGCCTGCAGCTGGACCCGGGGAAGAGCAGATCAGACACTTTAAATTTTATTGGGCAAGCAAAGCGGGGGGAGTCCCGTCGTGGAGCCCCCTTCCTGGCGCCCCCCCTACTCCGGCCCGGGCTCTGGGAGGTGGTGACTCCGGGGTCCGCCCGGTCTGGTCCGGCGGCAGCGGCTCGCGGTGGCCGCCCGAAAGTAGTAACACTTGATCGCGGCCGCCGGGGGCGAAAAGTGAGCCGAGGCGGGCGCGGGCGGCTCTCCCGGCGCGCGGGCGCCCGCTGCTTCTCGCCGTTCCTTCCCTTCCCGGCTCCCCGGCGGCCGCAGCATGAAGTGGCGCAGCGATGGCCAGAAGAGGTAAGAAGCCCGTAGTGCGGACGCTGGAGGATCTGACGCTGGACTCGGGTTATGGTGGCGCGGCGGACTCGGTGCGCTCCTCCAACTTGTCCCTGTGCTGTTCCGACTCGCACCCGGCGTCCCCGTATGGCGGGAGCTGCTGGCCGCCTCTAGCTGACTCCATGCACAGCCGGCACAACAGCTTTGACACTGTCAACACTGCCCTGGTGGAAGACTCCGAGGGGCTGGACTGCGCCGGCCAGCACTGCTCGCGGCTGCTGCCGGACCTCGACGAGGTGCCCTGGACCCTCCAGGAGCTGGAGGCGCTGCTGCTGCGCTCGCGGGATCCCCGGGCAGGCCCGGCGGTCCCCGGCGGCCTGCCCAAAGACGCGCTGGCCAAGCTGTCGATGCTGGTGAGCCGGGCGCTGGTACGCATCGCCAAAGAGGCGCAGCGCCTGAGCCTGCGCTTCGCTAAGTGCACCAAGTACGAGATCCAGAGCGCCATGGAGATCGTGCTGTCCTGGGGCCTGGCGGCGCACTGCACGGCCGCCGCGCTGGCCGCGCTGTCGCTCTACAACATGAGCAGCGCCGGCGGCGACCGCCTGGGCCGCGGCAAGTCGGCGCGCTGCGGCCTCACCTTCTCCGTGGGCCGCGTGTACCGCTGGATGGTGGACAGCCGCGTGGCGCTGCGCATCCACGAGCACGCCGCCATCTACCTGACCGCTTGCATGGAGAGCCTCTTCCGGGACATCTACGCGCGGGTCGTGGCCTCCGGGCTGCCTCGGAGCTGCAGCGGGTCCGGCCCGGCGGCCAGCGCCGGGCCAGGCCCGGGTTCCGGCCCCGGCCCGGTCCCGGGCGCGGGCGCGGGCGCGGTCCCCGCGGCGGAGAAGGAACGCGAGGCGCCCGGAGGGGGAGCGGCCAGCGGCGGCGCCTGCAGCGCGGCCAGCAGCGCCAGCGGGGGCAGCAGCTGTTGCGCCCCTCCGGCCGCCGCTGCAGCCGCCGCTGCCGCCGCCGCCGCCGCCTCCGCGCCGGCCGCCGCCACCAACCATCACCATCACCACCACCACGCGCTCCACGAGGCGCCCAAGTTCACCGTGGAGACGCTGGAGCACACGGTCAACAACGACTCGGAGATCTGGGGGCTCCTGCAACCCTACCAGCACCTGATCTGCGGGAAGAACGCCAGCGGTAAGTGGTTGCGCGGGCGCCGCCCCCCTCGCGCCCAAACCCGGCCAAGTCCCGTCCAAAGTTTGCCTGGCGCTTGCCCACCGCGTCATTCCGGTCGCCGCCTCCCTCCCGTGCGGGGAGCCCAGCCGGGACCCCCCCCCCCCGCCCCCGACCCCGCCTCGCGTGCTCGCGGTGCCGCGTGCTTTACGCGCCGCAAAAAAATTCGCCCAGCGCGCGGGGTGGGTCCGCCCCACTCTGGGGCGCGCCCGCGGCTGCCTACCGCAGGCCGTGGGAAGAATCCCACACCGGTTTGATTTTTTTTTTTTTATTTGGGGGAGGGTGGTTTGAGATCAGTTCAGACTCTTACGTCTGCTTGCGAGAGTCCTGTTTGTTTTGACCTTGAACATGCCAAATTCCTGGGCGCGCAAGTTTTGGCTCCCGGGAACTCGCGAGGAGGCGCTTCGCTCCAACACTTCCCCACGCTGCCGCGGGCACTTGTCGGCGCGCGGGGTGGGAAAGGGAAGGCCGGGAGCTCCCCGGGGCGCGGAGCAGTCGTGGGGAGGCATGGATGGGGATGGAGAGAGAGGGTGGAGCGCCAACGCTCTTCCAGAAGCCAAGTTTCCCCATCCCGGACAGTTCCTAAGGCTCAGAGCGCACGGCTGGTGGGTGGGTGCTGCGCAATGGACCAACCCCTTCTTCCCCGGATTCCAACCTCCTCCCACCGCTCTCGGGGCCCCCGCGGGGTCGGACACCACTGGGTTAATGGAGCGCCCCCCTGGCCGGACTTGGGCCCCATCGGGTTGGGCGTGGTTCTGGGGGGAGTTGTCCAGTTAGGGCGTCGATTTCCCGCAGATTCTGTCGTGGAGTCCGGGAACTGGATGGGCTTGAACCTGTCATTCTGGCGCCCGAGTGTGTGTGTGTGTGTGTGTGTGTGTGTGTGTGTGTGTGTGTGTGTTGGGGAGGAGGAGTGGGGATGGGGGCGGGGGACACGAGGGCCCCTGTTTTGGAGAGCTTGATCCAGTGGTCCTGACTGTCTGCAGGGGCCGGACGGAGCTAGACGTTCACTTCAAAGCTTCAATTTTCCACCGGAAATGGTAGAAGCGTAACTGGAGACTCGAAAAAAAACGAAATAAAACTTTGTTACAGATTCGGCGGCTTGGCCCGGGGTGGCCTGGTTGGAGCGGAAAGGCAGTCTTTCTGGGCAGATTTCATTCATGTTGCTGCCTGTTGGTTTCCTGGGGCCTGAGGCAGAGATGCGGCGGGCGCGGCCCGGCCTCTGGGGGTGCCAAGGGTGTGCAGTGGATGCGTGCGTGCGGGGGCGTAGGCAAGTGTGCCCGAGAGTGCGCGCAGCCCAGAGCGGGCGTAAGGGGTGCGCGGGGGGCGGGGGGAGGGGGGCAGCAGGGCCTATGAGAAACCGACCCTCATCACCTGGCTTTGATCATCGTCGGGGGAGGGGCAAGACAGAGCAAAGCGTGTGCACTTACGTGTGTGTGTGGGGGGGGAGGGGATGGGAGGACGGACGACGAGATCGCGACTTCCGTGGCATCTCTTTACCAGAACCCTTTCTCCTCGGTTGGCTGTAGAGCTCGGAACCCCAAAAGAGCCGTTGTCTGAGAGGCGCCCTTCTCCCCTCCCCCACCACACAAAATCCTGACCTAGTTGGAAACGTGTGGCAGAAGGTATTGATCTTTGTTCTTTAGCACTCACCTGCAAAACCTGCAGGAGCTTTGCACAGGATTGGGCTTCCTCTTGGAACCCGACCCCATTCCAGGCCCCATCCTCGCAAAACAAATACAGCAGCGGCGACCTGGGCCTCAACTTTCTCTTTTCGGAGCCAACCCATGACCTCTGGCTTCCCTGCAGCGTTACAGAAGTCCTTTCCCCAGGAATCCCGACCTCCTTTCCCCTCCTAGCCATCCGTAGAAAGGCCCAGATGGGTCTAATACAGGCCCTTCTGTAGCTCTCTGTTTGGGTCAGTAACCCCTATTTTCCCCCCCAGTGCGGTTTTTTTTTTGCTTTTAGTATCCTAAGTGTCTTTAAAAGACAGTTTCTGTGTTTATCGTCTTTGGGCAAGGTACCATTTAAGGCAGGAGCAGACCGCAGACCACAGCCATGCTTTGGGACTGGGCAAGTTTGTTGGGGGTGGGGGTGGGGAGGCGCATTCTGCCATCCCAGGCTTCTCAATACCACAGAACTTAAACTTCTGGGTTCCAGGGCCCCTTGGGTTATCTCTTGGTTTGAGAGAGGCTATAATTCCATTGTGATCTCTTCATCTCCTTCCTTTGACCTTGTTTTAAACAGCAGACCACTTATGCAGAGGAATTAAGGAATGAGTGATTCATTTCTCAGGTATCTGAGACATACATTAAACATCAAACCTATTTCTTAAACTCTTCTGCACGGCTGTCCTTCTGATCTGCCTTATTAAGGAGCTCACAGCATCCATAATTGATCCCTGCCCACCCCCAACACAGAGCATTGCTTATTCATTCATTGGTGAATTCATTTCTTGGTGAATGGCTTGAGCAGTGAAACCAGAGACTGAGGTATAAAGGTAACATGCATCCCACCATATGCTGTATGTTGAACCAGTGGGGCTTCAGGCTTGCCGTGAAAGGATGGCTGTGGCTGTCTGCATTAAAGAGAGGACCATCCCTATCCTGCTCTTGAGAGAATAGGACTCCCCTGCCTTCACATCCTTCTCCTGGCCCTTCATTACCCACTGGCTTAAACAGACTCTGCATGACCCTGCATTTTTTTCTGTTCCAGTTGATAAACCCTTGTTCCTTGCAGACTGCCCTGGGTGTAGTGAGCTTTACCATTTCTGTCTCCCACCAAGCTGGAGGTCCAGGTCCAGGATTGAAAGCTTTGTTTAACAATGGTGTCCTGAAACAACAATTGATTGCTGTTTCTAGAAATCTTTCTAGCCCACCAAGCCCATCCTACTGCCACCCCTGTACCTATTCACCCTTTTAAATTTGCTGCTGTTACACTGTCAAGACTCCTGGAGGCAGGAAACTTGTCATATGGGACTTAGAAAAGAAAGACTGGTGGTTCCAAGTGAGAGGCCCTGGTAGCTCTGAGAAATCACTTGCAGGGTTTGGGGTCTGAATTGGGGTGGAGAGGGAAAGAGCCTGCTTTACTTTTGGAATCAGTTTTATGTCTTTGATTTTTTTTTAAAAGCTGGGTTTCAAATTGCATTGCTTATTTTGGGGTGATCTCCTGTGCTACTTGGGGGAAGCGTGCAATGCTAGGGACTGAATCCTGGCCTCCCGCATGCAAAGAGCATGTGCTCCAGCTCTGTGAGTTCTCTCTTACTCTTTGAGTCAGAACTGGGGTCTCTGCCAAGGGACCCCATTGAGAGTCACTCTTCTGGAGGTGGGGAAGTTACACATTTGACTTGATTTAAGCCAAAGCAGGGGGTGGGAGTGGGTGCAGAGTAGGAGGTGGGAGAAGCAACCGAAATAAGCATCGGCTTTGTGTCCCCTAGCATGGGTCACTCATTCTACCATAAACCGAACCCTGCCCCCCTCCCCAGCTTGCCTCTCCTCACTCACCCTTGCAGACACAGCATGTGAAGGCTCTCTACAGCATTTCTGTGAGGCCTTTGTTGTTGTTTTAATTGAATCACAGTGAGATAGACCCTTACAAAGCTGTTCATGATTAGGTTTCACTCATACGGTGTTCCAACATCCATCCCTCCACCATTGTACATTTCCCAGCACCGGTGTCCCCAGTTTCCCTCCCATCACCCCCTCACCCTACCCCAGCCTGACTCTATGGTAGGTCCCCACCCCCCTCCCCTTTTTGTAATATAGAGACTGAATGATTGTTGTGTATATCCCTTTTCCTACTTTTAACACTCAGTTCTTATCCAGAGTGATCATTTCCTACTATTATTGTCACACTGGTGTCTCCTCTATCATACTTACCCTCCCTGAGGCCTTTCTTGCCACAACTCCCCTGCCTGGGCCTCATCCCAGCTCCTGCCCCCTCCCTTGAGAACCCGCCCCCTGGCCTCTTCCCTAGCCCTGTGGCTTGTTCATCTCTGCTGCTCCTTCTCTAGCCCTCGCCATGCTGCTTAGCACTTAGTGGTTGCTAAATGCTGTTTGTTGAAGAAATATAACCGGCCCCTCAAATTTCGGGCAAAGTTTGCCCGTCAACATCTGTGATCAACAGCTGAAAAAGCCTTTATAGCCAGACCTCCTGGATTGGAATGCCAAGGCCACCATTTTCTCACTGTGTGTTCCTGGGCTGGGCATGTCAGCTAACCTCTCTGAGCCCATTTCCTCAGCTGGAAAACAGATCTCCTTATTCTGAGCATTATGTGAAATTGTATGTATCAGGGCATTACAGTTTGGTGCATTAATGGGGCTGGTAGGTGGGATATGAACCCTAGACAAACTCTTCCTTTCCGTGCAGTGGGAATATGGTGTTGGGTTGCTTTTTTTTTTTTTAAACACAATTCCCCTTTCTGATATTTTCATCATGTAATTCTATATATCCACCATAAGAATTGAACCAGATCATAGGCTCTGCGCCAAGGCATCAAAAGATTGTTTGGTCAAGGGGAAGATCCTTAAACAAACACTATCAAACTTTCTAGGTGACAGAACTTCCTAGGCAGGTAGAGGAGAAGGTTCTGAGGCATATGAATTTTTTCAGAAACACCTTGCACTGTAAACAGGATTTGTGCATTTCCCAGCATTAAAAAACATACGTCCGTTTTATAAACAAAAGCATCTGTGAGCGAAATCATGTTTTAAGCGGTCACAGAACTTGAAGGAAAAGCTGGACAAAGCAGAATCGTAGGATGAAAGGTGAAACTGCCTTTCCTTTAGGGAATATTAGCATTGGTCAGAGAAGTAGCCAGGCTATAGAACACCAGCCTGGTCTGTAGGAGGCTTCTGAGCTGAAGCCTGAATGAAAAAAAAATAAATGGAAAAGGAAAGAAAGAAAAAAAGGTCAGTTTGGACTTTCGACTCTGTTCCAAGGGATTGCGATTTTGCTGGATTTGGTTT